TAATTTATAATAACAAAATCCATACACAAAGTCGTTAAAGAAAAATTCATTCCAAAAGCAAAAATTTGGAAAAATCATAATCATGGCTCCAACATTATTTATCACACATTGGTGTTGATGTAACATTACAAAGCACTTCTACAAGCCAAGAATGATGTAGCAGTGAACGAGCTAACCATAACCTGAGCTAATGTTAGCAAGCTAGCTGTAACTTAGCTATTCTACATGGTTGCTCTCAACAGCAGCGAATGTAATTTGCAAGTGGTTAACTACGTAGTATCATGGAGCCAATGGTCCAAATTAAATATAGGAAGATTGTAGATGGTAACGTTATGCTAAATATGATTGAAATGTACTTTCATCCTTTTACAAACAAGATGGCAGTCAGTCACAATCAGATTCATGTCACTTTTTTAGCCGATGCCCACTCATGGCTACCGATGGCCTCAGAGAGAGGTGTTGCTAATAACAGCTGTTTTGTAAAAGTTACATACAGAATCTTTAAGGATTTTCAATATTAAAATGAAAATTTGAGAAGTCCTACTGGCTAACAAACGAGCAAACTCAACCGGAAAACTCCTTAAAGGAGGTGATCATGATTTTCTGTACTGTAGTCATGCAAATATACTGGATAATATGGTGGAAAAGTTGGAGAAATATGCAAATCACTTGGAGGAGGTGGTGGAGGAGAGGACCAATCAGCTCACAGCAGAGAAGAGCCGTGCAGATAAGCTTCTCTCCAGCATGTTACCAAGGTACTTGAATTCAAATAGCAATGTATGGTAACCCATTCAAATCACGTGACCACGGTGGCACCGGCTGAATGGGCATCCATGACTACACCCCTCACCTTGTCAGTGCTTCATTGGTACATAGACCGATTGCAGATCAGCTGATGGCAGGGAAGTCCGTGGAGCCGCAAAGCTACGACATGGTGACCATCTTCTTCTCTGACATTGTGGGCTTCACGTCCATGTGCTCTGTCAGCTCTGCGATGGAGGTGGTGACGTTCCTCAATGACCTCTACAGCCTCTTTGACGACATTATCAAGATGTACGATGTCTATAAAGTAAGTCACACGCAACGATTTTAGTCTGTTTTAATCTTTATGAATTGAGGGGAGTATAATCTGTAATATGTAGGTTAGAAGTTTTTGTGCACAACATAGGACTGTAGTTTCATACACACCTCACAGACATGACAGTAGTAGCAATCCTTTCACAAACTCTCCAAAATGTGAGACTTTTTTTCAATATAACTGCACTTTGCTTATTGCAGGAAAAAAAACAGCTTCCCACTGTTACTTTAAAAAACTGGTAGTAAAATTTTGTCATCTTCGTGTCTTAGGTGGAAACAATTGGCGATGCGTACATGGTAGCCAGTGGTCTACCTATCAGCAACGGCTTTCAGCACGCTATAGAGATATCCACGATGGCTCTACATTTCTTGAGTGCAATCAAGATCTTCAGAATCCACCACATGCCTACTGAGAATCTTGCAATCCGCATCGGGATACATTCTGGTTAGAGACAGATTTATTTTATTGTTAATGCTGAAGTATTTGTTTTTTTCAGGTGGCATATTTAGAAGGAACCAGAAACTTAATGAGAGTGGTTATAAACGACCAATAGTTTGCAAGATTTCTGGTTCATTCAAAGTCGTCCTACTCACTTGTCATTGAGAACTTTGCTGAAGTTTGTACATGAAAGATTTGAGACATTTGAGTGGATACACACAGTTTGTCTTTTTGCTCGTGGGTTTCATAGGTCCAGTGGTTGCTGGAGTGGTCGGCACCACGATGCCTCGCTACTGTCTCTTTGGTGACACGGTGAACATGGCCTCTCGCATGGAAAGTAACAGCTTACGTGAGTCACACCTATACAGAGGCTGTTTATTCAGACCATCAGTACTTCACTTTCATTAATCAAACCTTCTGGAGAGTGGTTTAAGCAGTTTTAAAACTATACCTTCAAAATGTTTGTCCCTGTCTTCTGTATAACAGCCCTGAAGATTCACATATCTCAGTGCACCGCTGACATTCTGGTCCAGGCTGGATCGTTTGTGCTGGAGGAAAGAGGGGAAATTGAAATGAAGGTGACTTAAGAGTCTGCATGTCTTTTTTTCCCTCCAAATAAGATGTACAGCCAATATTTTTAACATTTTTAATACCTTCATGTGTTTGTGTCTACGACAGGGTAAAGGGTCTCATAAGACCTACTGGCTGCTGAGCAAAAAAGGATTTAACCCTCCTGTCATTGCTCACAGCTCTCCACCATCTGACAGTCACAGACTACAGGCAGAGGTACAGTTAACACACCACAGTCTCTTCGTTTTGATAAAGACACTATATATCTATGGTAGTAAATGTAGTATTTCATGTAAAGCAGTGTTGTATATTGACCTTTGTTTGTGATATCTCTGCTCAAGAAACTAGGAATGGTCCGAGTCGCTGAGAAAAGGGCCCAGAAAACGCTGACCAAAGCCATGATGACAACAGTACACATTTAAGGAACAACTGCATATTCTGACCAAATTAAGCACAATTTGGTGGGTTCACAGAAACGACTTGTGAAGAGGAGACAAAATGTAGACAGAGACTGGAGTGATGATATAAAACACCGTAGAGCTGAGAGGATCACAACATTTGTGTTTTCAGACTCTTGCTAAAGAAAGCTAAAGATACTTTCTAATCTTAAAGGGACAGTTCACTCAGAAATCAAAAATACATATGTTTCCTCTTATTACAGAGTATTGGAGATATCGGCCGTAGAGATATCTGCCTTCTCTCCAATATAATGGAACTAGATGGCACTCAGCTTGTGGTGCTCAAAGGGCTAAAGAAATACATTAAAAAAAAACTCAACAGCAATGTCTCTTTCCAGAAATCCTGACCAGGTTACTTCAAGATACATTTTTCAGGCGCTGTGAGCAAACAAAACTACAGTTAAAGGAGAAGTCCGGTATTTTGCACTCATTTTCCGAGAGTTTGGGTTTCCCCCTGCCTGGCTTAACACTGCTGCCAGTAGCCATGTGTGAGCCTGTCCTAAAACCACCCCCTAAACGTTCGTTTTCAAAGCCATGAAACTCGCAGAGTAGCTCGTAGCTAACGGTGGTTTCCGTGATGATTTATGTGACATTTTGTGTAATCCATTGGTTTTCTATAGAAGCCTCATTGTCCGTTGGTGGTAATCCGCCACCGGAAACGGAAAGAGGGTTGTTTACGACAAGGTTATAGTCATTAGCCATGTTTCCATGAGCCTAATTAGATGCGCATCTAGAAGCATCGCATCGGAAAATAATGATGGAAACGCCAAAATTCGAATTAAAATCCCCTGATTCGCACAAAGTAAAATAAGCTCGCTTTAGCCGGGTTTTGGTTGATTTGAAAAAATGTTGATTCGCAAAACAGGGGATGGAAACAGTTATGTTCGAATTAAGTCTGACGTAGCGCACCTCTCTCCATGGTGATATCCACACTCCGGGTCGGGAAGGTGGTAATGCATTTACAAGCTGGTTGCCAACAGCCAGAAAACGTAGAAGAAGAAGAATGCGAGACTTGTTTTGTTTCTGGTTCTGCAGAAATCTCGCGCGAGTTCGTAGTTTTCACCAAAGTCCATACATTTAATGGAAACACACAGGATTCGTATTTCTTTTAATGTGCATTTCCCAATGATTCGAATCACTTTTGGATGGAAACATAGCTATTGTAGTCTTTTAGCTCAGTGAAAGTGCCGGCTCGACAGTGCTGTGTGCGCTCCTGGAGGAAGAACAAGAACGAAAAAAAAAGTTTTGTAATAAGTTTAAACAACTGCACAATGGATTACTCGCTTGTAAACAACCTTCGCAGTACGATGCCTTTGAACACAACGCCAACCTTCTTCTTCTTCTCTGTGTCCCATTACATTGCAATTGTTTCCTGCCGGTTGCCGACACCCACGTAAAGGAGCATTATCGCCATCAAGTGGGCTGGAGTGTATAACGCTTCAGGGTCAAACGAACAATCAAGCAGAAGTTTACACACGGGTGTGACGCAGCTGAAAAAATAGTTCCACAATCGAGATGAATAGTGAAAACACGGATGGAAACCACAGTTAGCTATGATTTTTATGTCAGAACATCAGTTAACACCACTGACCACTCTGTCCAGTTTCATGGCTTTGAAAACAAATGTTTAGGGTGGTTTTAGGACAGGTTCACACATGGCCATAGGCAGCAGTGTTAAGCCAGGCAGGGGAAAGCCAAATTCTCTGAAAATGAGCAATCATCACTATTTTGGTCTTAACCACTCCATTTCATCATAAACAACCCAGAAATGGTGCTCAAAGTGCAAAATACCGGACTTCTCCTTTAAGAGAAAACGTATGTATTTTTGATTTCGGGTTAACTGTCCCTTAAATTCTGAGTGACACATCCATTCCTTCATTGAGAAGAAGTGGAGTCAATGCTAATATAAAAATACTGATTGTTTAATTCAGACTGTTCTTTGTAGCTCATATTTTAAAGCAAAAGGAAATGGGGATTTGATGTAAAAATACAAAAATGTATATATTTAGGCATATGTCATATGAGAAGAAATTAATACATTAATATTATAATATATAATTATATTATATAATTAACAGTGATACAGGTTAAGTTTCTTAAGTTTCTTACTGTTTCTTTAAAAAAAAACAATTCTTTGTTGCATTTTGTGAGGACGTCAGACAGCCAACTTTATATATTTTAAAACAAAAATTGTTTCCTTTTAACATACAGAGAAGTCAGACTCAATGATGCTGCATGTAATCAAAATGGTTTGAAAATGTTTTGTTCCCGAGGATTAAATTTGAATGAAATAAATATTAAAGTATGTTTAACCATCTGATTTATGTTTATTATCTGATTTCAATTTCTGGATTAAAGGAAATAGTTTATTTATTCATCAACATTGTGAGGACGCCCAGGATATTTTTTCATGAGAGAATGGGGGCATGATTAAAAACAAAAAGGGACAAAGATCATTTCTTTAAAAATGTCAGTAAATCTTTATTGGAAGAAGCAGTGAAGGAATGTGTGTGACATTTCAAAAGATTATCCAAAGCATCAATAAACATGCTAATTACAAATAATGTCTGTGAGATAATGAGAGTGTGGGGGTGACACGAATACAAGTTTTTACTACATTCTTGATCCGGTTGCTAAATCACAGCACATGTTTATGAGGACCACCAGCAGGATGAATAGTGACGTGCCTGTGAGGGAAACAGGAAAAGAGAATACAAATCGGATCAAATGCAGATGAGAGACAAACAACTTATGTAGATTAGCTGAGACATAGCATGTTTCTCAAAAATGTTTTAAGATTTAATGACTTTAAGGCCAACAAATAAATGAAGTATTTTCCCACCAGGATTTGATTTCTGGTTATCTACAGAAAACAACAACAGCAACATGTTTGGGAAGAAAATATATGTGACATAGATACAGATTCAGATACATTTTACCAACAGTAGTCATCATTGCATCACATTTGTTTACCTTTCATGTGTCCATTATTGGAGGAATTAATACCTGTTGATAGATAAAGACATCATAATACAACATAAAAGCAATTACAGTAAAGACAAAAGACAAAAACAGTCAGCTAATGGATAATTTTATTTTGATAGAGGCAAAATTACAATGCTACAAATTGATATTTGTATATTTAAAGTCCCCCAAAACTCAAAACAGTTTTTAACTTACTGTTGCTTCATTTGGATGTTTGACCGGAATGATATATGTCAGAGTGGGATCTAATTTAATCATTTTTACCTCAGTAATTTAACTTTTTTTGTGGGAAAAAAAACATCAGACACAAACAAATATTCCAAGCTAAGAATTTTAAATGTCTTCAAACATGTCTGAAGGGGATGTTAAACACTGTGAAAAGTCTAAAACACCTCAGCACGTGAAGACCACATGGCGTACTGTACCTTTAATGTGAAACTCAGCTGTAAGGATCCCCCCACTTGGATCCGCCTCTGATGACAGACTTCTAAAAGAGCAGGGACCCTTGAGGGAAGAGAGGAGGAAACATGAGTTCAGTAAGAAGCACATTTTGTCAATTAAACTTAGACCAGACTTGCTTTGACCAGGGGACACTTCTGCAAAATGAGGCCAGGGTTCAGTTAGGGACATTTCTAGGATTTGAGGACAGTCGAGGATCAGACCACTGTAGGGGGGTCCTGGGAACCTTCCTGAACATTTTTTCATAAAACAAGCTCTATTTTATTTTTTTATGCACTCTTGAATCTTATTTACATTTAAAGTACGAAGAAGTCCCATCCAGTGTGAATCAAACGTCACGTAATAAACATACTTATTATAACTCAAAATATGATCATTTTTTAAACTTAACAAGCACGACCATTTAATAGAATTAACCACACTAAAGCAGTGGTTCCCAGCTGGTGGGTTGCAGTCCAAAAGCGGGTCAAAGGTCATTCTGAATGGACACAAGTGACTCGCAAACATGTTAAATTTGTAAAAAACACATTTTATCTTTAAGTACAGGGATTTTCTGGCACAGAGCTTTTATTCTGAAGTGCCGTTTCCTGCTGTAGAGTGAGTGACTGACAGATAGCTACTTAACAGAGACAACAAACTAGCTTAACACGGCCAAACACAAGTATGCACTGAATGTATTAAACTATGTGGACCTTGGACTAATGACTAAGGAGAAATCTGGATCCCGTGGCTGGACCAGTTGGGAACCATTGCGCTAAAGGGTGCCCTGTGCGTCGCTATCAGATGCCGAGGGCGCTGATAAAGTATTGGTATTTGAAAACCTGTGAATGAGAAGGGGATGGGTCCCTCCAAAGGATCATCAGATAAATCTGAAGGGACATGAGATGAACAAACCCACAAAACTACACAAACTTAAATCCATTCTGTGGACTTTTGACAGGAAATCACTTGATAATGACTTAAACGCCAAAGGGCTGGGAACCACTGGTTTAATCGTTACCAATTAATTGGATTTTATAAGCTTATCATGTATATTCTGAAAAGTAACTCATAACCTCATTTGTACGTTGCTTTGGACAAAGGCATCCAAAAATAAATGTAGTGAAGTATAAAGCAGCAGAGAGTGGAAATACTCAAGTAAAGTACCTCAAAATTGTTCAGTACTTGGCTAAATGTACTTGGCTACTCTGGAAACTGGTGCCTCATAATGACTTAAACTGCATGTGATATTTCAAGGGCAAAAAGAGTTGGAAATGTAACAACAGGGACTGACATTGATAAACAGATGAACTGAAGATATGTTGATATCATGTCTAAGTGTTGCACTCACTGGTTGACAATTGAGCCTCTCTCCATCACAGACCTGGACCTCACAGTGAAGCCAGACAGTGGAAACCTTCTCCAGACGTTGGAAGCGGAAAGAGTTGAACTTGAACATGGAGCGGCTGTCTTTGGCATTCTCAAAAATCGTCACAGTGTTGTCAGAGGAGCAGCTGGTGGAAGACAGAAACAGGTTTAATCGGAAAATTCATTTAAGTATCAAGTGGCATCCAGAGGTGTCCTTTCACATTTAACTACACTGTAAAACTTATTTGAGGTATCAGGAGCAGACTCTGAACAAATGACTCAAGTACATTTTCAAGATTTTCCACTGTCCCAGACAAACTTCCAATGTCACCCAGCTGGTGCATGCTCCATGCCCTGTTTACACGTGGCCAGCTATTTTCATAAACGGACATTTTACCATCTCCGTTTTCAAAAATAACATCGTGCACACCTGTCCGTTTTCAAAAAAATCTTCGTTTACACTAACCCGTATATATATGCTGTCAAGAGCATGCCAAACCTGTAGGTGGCAGTGTAACGAGAAGCTCAAGCCCACGTTTGCCAATCAGAATCCCGAAAATAGCAACAACAACAACAACAACAACAAGTCACTTCCTCTCTCTCAGTAATGGCGCCAGGATCATCATTCGTATGGACTGACCAGGAGGTAGAGCTCCTGTTAAATGTAACTTTAGATTACAAAGCCACAAAATTACAGGAGAACATCGACTGGGAGACGTGCCAAAGTAAATATGCCGACATACTTACCCTCTTTTTAGAGCACTACCCAACGCATCTAGCGCTACAACCCCATCAACCGATTTTCCTCATTGAAACGAGGACATCACCCGCGCCATCCTCACAACCAAGCTTAAGGCAGTTCGGGGGAAATACAGAGGCAAAATTGCTGACCTCCGAGCACTCATTCGTCTCTGCTCCTCGACATAATAGAGCAGCTGTATTTGCAAATGCAAACAGACAAGAAGGGAGGTAACCAACATAAATGTGACTGCTACTCTGAATGTATCCATGGTCACCATAGCAACAAAAGTCGCACTTTTGACACAGGTGCAAGTTCCGGCGCATACTGTGACGTCGGCTGTCTATAACTCCGTTTATTGCAGTTTACATGTAAACGTGCAACCGGAGTTTTCCAAAATCTCCACTCTGGCCGGAGTTTTTAGAGGAGAAATCTCCGTTTGCGTGTAAACGAAGGGTACAAACGAAGGAAGATGTCTCCGTTTATCAAAATCACCATGTACGTGTAAACGGGGTGTCAGTGAGCTTTAAGTCTGTATTTCTCTCATATTGACGTTCCAATAAAATACAGTATGGTTGATGTTATTGTTAATTTTTAGTCTTGGCTCAGGCAAATAATGAAGTTCAATGTCACGAACATTGTCAATAACCAACAACTGCACTTTCTCCACTGTCAAACAGGAAACAGCAAAACGGGGTAGACAGTAAACATGTACCCCTTTTCGACAGTCCGGAGCAGGCTTGGCTTGGCTTGGCTTGGCTTGGCTTGGTTTGGGTCGTCAGCCCAGTGCAGCAGGGATTTGCATCTCCATTACAACAGGGCCACACACTTGAAGGTGTGTCTTTCACTGATGACTGCTCATCTTGGGTGATGACGTTTAAAAGCAGAGTGCTGATCCACAACTAAAGTCCCCTGTTATTTCTGCTGCATGTGTCTTTCCACAGCAGGGCAGGGAAAAGAAGTTGACCTGTTGGAGGTGAGCTGTTTGCAGAGGTGCAGTAAGAGCCTGTTGTCTGCAGCTCTTCATCAACATCTCACTGCGGCGGTTTCTGCTGTTATTCTTCCTCCCTGCCGTATTATTAGATTTGTCTTTATTGAAGAAAAGCCACCAACCAAGTTCCACTAATTCAGTAATATACACATTTCATTTTCTATAGATTCTTCGCAATAAAAGTCCATCGTTATTTTGTTATGTAAGAATTTATTGTGAAGCAGCAAAATAAGGAAATGTTGATTTTTTTGGGCCGAAACTTCACATAAATGTTAAATGTTTTATGTTATGTTAATTAAATGTTAATATGTTAATGTTAATATGTCAAATTTCTAAAAGGGAGTTTCCACCAGATGGAAAATGATCTCAAAGGGAATCTAGTTGCAGTTTTGCAAATAGTGACCCCTGCAAGATACTCAGTCTTTGCAAAATCTTATCATGTGTGACTTTAGTCTTCTCAAAATCTTTTTAAAGTCTTCTGGTGTATGGTGGACACTAGCTGAACCAGTTGAAATGTTTGACTTTGTACCTGTTGATGATGAGACTCCACCTCTTCTTGTCTGTTGAGTATGGAGTAGGAGTGGCCCAGCAGTTGTTTATCACAACTTTGAATCTGAGAGGTGATAATTGAAAGATGTGTTAGACTTTGAGTGGTTGTGGTACTTGTATGAATATAAACATAATCTTTAAACACCTGGAATATTTCAATATATGCTGACATACCTGTTACTTAGTCCTTTGGCCTCGATGCCGATGAAGACTTCAGAGCCGATCTCAGAGGTGTCGATCACATACGGGGCGTCCTTGGCGTACAGGAACTTTGAATTCTACAAAATATATACATATATTTTATATTTTTATTTGCATCTTCTTATTGGTACAGCTGTTCTGCAGAGGATTTATTAAACAAATATAAAAATAGCATGACTGCATGAAACATGTTGCCTCCACTGGAGAAACTGAATCTGCGAGCGTCTACTCACCGTGAACACGTTCATAGACAACTGTGACCTAAAAGTGCCTAAACTCCCGTTGTTGACATAAACTGTAGCCACTCTGGAAAAAGCAGAGGGTTTAGTAAAAACGCTGCAAGTCATTGGGTTAGAATGCACTTATGTTCCACACGGTGACTGTGGTCGCCTCGTGTCTCGTGTCAATGCTTACCTTTGGCTGAACACTGCGTTATTTACCAGGTAGGCTGCTCGGTACATGCAGCTGAAGGTGTAGTTGACCGGCTGGTTTCTGACTGTGAGCGACGTGTCGTTGGACACGATGGAGTTGTAGAAGATGTACTTGGGATCTTTGCCGGGCATGTACTGTCAGAGGGGATGTGAAGACAAGAATATGAATAATATTTTTTTGTACTTTTTGGTTGTTTTCTTCTGTTGCTGAGGCTCTAAAATAAAAATGCGATGCCTTCACCTGAGAAACAGAGACATTGTTTCTGGTTTTTAATCAATGTAAAATGCTTTAGCACTACAGACTAAACCCCGTTGTCCTACTTTGAACTGGGGTGGTGTCAAAACTATCACAAAGCAGACATGTCAGAAACTGGGCGAATAAACAAAGTCTCCATGGCTGGATACAGTAATTGTGACCCTCACCTCAGACTGCGTGCCGCAATACGAGTGGTTTTTGGGCGTCAGGTCTGGGATGATGAAGCGGTAGTAGCCTGGACTGTGTATTCCAGAGTAGCAAACTCCACCCAGGGACAGCTGGTCGATCTCCCAGCCGTACGGACACTCAGGGACGTTGGCAATGATAGCATTGGGGAAACATGACACCATAACATAGTCTGGAATAAGATGCAAACTCTCAATAAACCTGGCAAATAATTGCTTGAAATATGTGGACATCCAGCATGAGAACAACCTGATCTCTGTACTGTGTGATGTTACCTGCTTTTTGGGGAGAGCATGTCCATGCAACAGGTAGAAGCATTAACAAAGCACCAACAGAAGCCATGCTGTGATACTGCGAAGAGATTTTAGTTACCAATGAGAGAATATTCAAGGATAACATAGAATGATGTAAGTATGTCATTAAATAAAAGATTTACCTGTTGGGGAAAAAATCTCTTTATATATTCTGATGTCAGAGGATCCTCATGGCTCTTCAACAAGCCACCAGCACCGGCAACTCTACAACTAACATCTTGACAGCTTGGGGAGGTATTTTATACCATCACAGGTGAGGGAAATCAACTTCTCCCCCATTCTCTCTTCGTCTCCCCTCTGGCAGGTTTAAGAGCTCTATTGTGTCACTGCTCACAAAAGCTTTCTGTGCTGCTCGGACATTCACTTTCAAATGACCAGCGTCTCACGGGACGAGCACTCAGGGTGCTTAAAGTCACCTTATCTGGAAACGGGCTCACAGGGAAATCTGTCAATTTCATACAGTGAATAGAGACAGTTAGGACTTGTTATAACATAGGAGGGCGAATAATTTATTTCACACTTAGCTAGCAGCATCGCTGTGGCAGCGGAGGAGTGATTATTGAAGATTTTCCACCTGTTTTCACCTTGTTACAGTTTATTAAATGTCTCCTGTCTTTCTAAATTTTATTTGTGTCATTCATATATGCTTATGTAAAGCAGAAGTTTGACATTTTGGGAAATAACCTTATTTAGTTTCTGGTGGAGAGTTAAACAAGGAGATTGATACCACACTCATACATGTAGTCAGAAAACTGTTAGCTTAGCATAGCATAACGACTGGAAACGGGGGTAAACAGCTAGCCTAGATCCAGTCACCATAGTCACAAAATCTGCTGACATGCACCTCTAAAGTTCAGAAATTATCATATTATATCCTGGTTGTTTAAAAGATGAAAAAAATAAAAACAATACAACCAAAGCAAGGATGTCAACGGTTAACCCCCAGTCAGTTAGCAGCTGACAGTATTTTTGACTGGTCATGCATTATAGATCAGTTTTGCTACTCTTCAGTTCACTGCACTGCACACCACCTAGATCTGGTGTTAGCTAACATTAGCTAACAGCGCTGCTAATTCAGCCCCCCCCCCCCAGTTTGCCCCAGTCTGCCCTGTTGAGTAAGCTCAATTTGTTATGCTATGTTATCACTGCAAGCGCTTTTAGCACTGTTAGCAGTGTAAGCCTGGCTAGTGTTGCTAACATAGTTACCGATGCTAAAGGAGTTTTGCGGATCTAAAATAAGGCGGCTACTCACCGAGGTGACCTGGGGGCCACCATGTTTCCACAGCAATGTCCTTCTGCCACTGAGACGTGGTTTGCAGAGGTAATCGTAAATGAGCGGCGCCACTAATTAGCTCCCAGCCCACCTGCGCGGTTATTTACCGGTAAATGGGTGTCGGGCTATCGACAGAAAAATTAACCAAAAAAGACATTCCTTAGCCAAAGTGTAAAAATTACAATTCATTTTATAGGGAAAGCCAAACATAACTCATCTGCACACACTGTGACAACACAGAGATAGCTGAAAATTGGCAAAGTGTCCCTTTAATTAATGAGCTTGTGGTGTTGGTAATTGGATTTTAATTCCTCTGGACAGAGCCATGCTAATTGTTTCCCTCTGTTTCCAGTCTTTGTGCTAAGCTAAGCTAAGCTAAGCTAAGCTAAGCTAAGCTAAGCAAGTGCTAGCTGAACCCGAATATAAAGCAGACAAATATGACAGTGGTATCAGCCCTCTCATGTAACTTTCCACCAGAAAGCAAATAGGCAAACTTCCCCTGCTGTTAACCAATAAATCTCTGGAGATACAATTTAAGTGTACCTGCACACATTCACGTTTCGGGAACAGAACTTGAGGTAGACAGAGAAACAGACTGCCCTGTTCCTTCTCTTTGTCCTCTTGGCCAAAAAGGACAAAGTGTTCAGGAACACAAAACCATTTAAGAAGCTAAATAGTGCAAACAGACATGTATAGATACCTTCAAAAAGTGATGGCAGCTCAGATAAGAGCAGGCTCACACTACTAACTAGTGTTCTTAAGTGGAGATGATAGGGCTGTGTTTTGCAGCATTCAGTAATATAAGGTTTCTCAGTTTTGTGCGATCAGATATCACCTTTGTCTTGTCAGCCCTACATGTGTGTGAAACGTGTGTTTCATTGGCCTGTTTACATCATTTTAATTGGTTTATATCGAGTTGCCTGAAGCCTCAGTCACTTTAGTTTGATATCTATTCAGCTGACAGTTCATCATGTTTAATTATCTGTTCTAATTATATGTTTTTTAAGAAGATAAAATGGCTGGAAAACTGAAGATACTCAGGGGAAAAGAAAAGGAAAAGGTAGATTTGCCTCCAAGGCATCAATAAAGTTAGAACTCTTTGTTTCTAACGTTCGCTTCCGTTCACACAATCAAAAACCTCCTTGCAAAGACTTAATGATGAGAGCTGTAAAACGATAGCAAAGAGGTTAGACGCTAATGTCCTTCACAGAACAATTCAAGTCACCCAGCAATTGAGGGGGCAAACTGCAGACGATTAGCATCTGAATGGAGCGACGGAGGAGTCTGTGAAGAAGATATCGATCTAAGAACGGGTCAGGAGACAGCTAGCGTTACAGCATCTGGTGACGCTAACAATCAGGAGCCGCAAGACTCCGCCATGTTATGTAACTGCAGCCTGTCATCCAAGAAACGTGCTCACTGTGTCCACTTTGAGCTTTAAAGTGATACTCCACCCCAAAATCTATCTTTTGAGTCTTAAGTATTCATTATTTACTATAAATTTACTGATATCTAAATTAGAAAAGTGTTTGTAAAATGTTTGTTGTTATTCCTAGGTGGAAAACATGAGGCCACAGTCAGCTTTTCACAGTAGGAAAAGTATCAGAAACCTCTCAAACCACTCATGCAGCGCAATTCATTTCTCTATTGTCCATCTGTATGGTTAATTCCAAACATATTGTGTGTGTCCAAATATTTTTGGCAACAGGCTCGCCAGTCAAGCAAAAGTAAATACCACCCCAGATTTACTCTCACTTGGCATTTCATGTTTCTAAATTTGAGTTTTGGGGGCTGTGTCTCTTGGACGCTTGCTGTTTCTGGTACTTTTATATAGCCCCGACCTCACCTGAGTGCTGTGGGGGTACACAAAATCTGTTTTTTAACTAAAATGCCTGGAAATCTCTGTCAAAAAACTTTTTAATGTGTAATTATGTATTTAAAGGGGGCCTACGCCCATTTTCAAAATTCATACATGTTATGTCTGTGGTCTAAAATATTAGTCAACATGAACAACACTCTCCACAATCCAGCAACTAGAGTGCTAAAAATCGAATCTGTGAGGTCATCAGGTATCAAGTCTGGAGTTTCTCCATTGGCAATGAATGGTGAAAGACGTTCTAGACCAGTGGTTCCCAACTGGTCCAATCGCAGGGTCAAAATTTCTCCTTAGTCATTGGTTCAAGGTCCACACAGTTTAAAGGGATAGTGCACCCAAAATGAAAATTCAGCCATTATCTACTCACCCATATGCCGATGGAGGCTCAGGTGAAGATTTAGAGTCCTCACAACACTTGTGGAGATCCAAGGGGAGAGGAGGTAGCAACACAACTCCACCTAATGCAGGCTGACAGTGCCCCAGATTCAAACGTCTAAAACACATAATTGAAACCACAAAATATCTCCATACTGCTCGTCCATAGTGATCTAAGTGTCCTGAAGCCCCAACATAAAAAAATTGTTTGGAAAAACGTCATTTGGACTCTGTTTTTAGCCTCATTGTAGCCTGTAGCTCTGACTGCCTATCTGTACACCGCGCTCACGTGTGTGCACTTGCGGGCGAGACCAGGGAAAGCGTGGACACACATGAAGGAGGTGCCCACATCTCACGGTCTCGCGCAAGTGCACATACATGAGCACGGTGTACAGAGAGGCAGTTAAAGCTACAGGCTACAATGAGGCTAAAAACAAAGTTCAAATGACGTTTTTCTAAACAACTTTTTATGTCGGGGCTTCAGGACACTTGGATCACTACGGACGAGCAGTATGGAGATACTTTGTGGTTTCAATTATGTGTTTTTGGATGTCTGAATCTGGGGCGCCGTCAGCCTCCATTAGGTGGAGTTGTGTTGCTACCCCCTCTCCCCTTGGATCTCCGCAAGTCTCCATCGGCATATGGGCGAGTAGATAATGGGTGAATTTTCATTTTTGGGTGCACTATCCCTTTAATACATTCAACATCATGTGTTTGACCATGCAGTCCAGCCAGTTTGCTGTCTGCCAAGTAGCTATCCGTTAGTCAATCACTCTACAGCAGGAAACAGCACTTCAGTGTAAAGAAATTGTGCCAGAAATGTACTGTACTTCAAAATACAGTCTGTTTTTTTACAAACTTGACATGATTGCGAGTCACTTGTAGTTCATTGAGAATGGACCCACAACCCACTTTTGGAGCGTGACCACCAGTTGCGAACCACTTCTTGACAACACAGAGCACCCAGGGGAATGCTCTGAGTATACAGGTATATTTTCTGTTTCTGAGGCTAATTTGGGCTTAAAAAGAAAACAGTGTGTAGATCTAAAAAGTAAAATAAAATTAGCCTCCTGTTCATTGTCTATGGAGTAGCTCCAGACTTTATACTTGATGACATCACACATTTGAGACTTACTTCTCTGGTTTCTGGCTTTGAGAGAGAATCGTTCATGTTCACAAATTCCCAGGCCATCAAAACAACATTGGAATTCTGAATTCCCCTTTAATGGAGGAATTGCATGACACATCATCAGAGTAACACTGGAATAAATTCACTGGACAAACAAAATGCTTTACATTTGGGTTTACTGTGTCTACAATGATGATAAACATGGACTACCCAGCTGCATATTCACCACAAGAGGGCAGCAAAACCTTTTCTTCAATACACTCTTGCTGATGTGTATGTATTATTCATGAATGATTGATTGATTTTTGGCAGGTTTAAAATAAAATCATAGCGGTGAATAATTACAGATTCTTTGCTTTTGGAAAACAATCTTTTTATTCTTTAAACTGAAGGGGAACATACATTTATAGATATCATCAGTGATCACTAAATCTACACTAGATTACATACAGTAGTGCTTTTGTCAAAATTTACAAAATGAAATAATAAAAACAACCGTACTGTACAAGTCTAATAAAACATGCAGCTACACAACACATTTGGAAATACCTATGCTTTTTATATACAAATATTTACAACACATTTACACAATAAATAGCTTTAACATTGAGGCTGGCATCAAGATTTGGGGACTTGGCAGGTCCAACTGGTTTGTTCAGGCTGGTAAATAAAATCTCTCCTGAAAGACAAACAAACTGAGGTTAGACCATGAAAACATGCCATTTATTAAACATATTGAAGCATATTTTAAAAAACAACTTGTGGTGTGACTGGATTAACATGTCAGGGAGTCTTGCGGCAAAACTTTGTCGTTAGGTTCCCATTGACACCCCTCCACTACCTCACACTCCTTAGGCCTTGCATACATATCTCCAAGTTACCATCACATACACAGAGAACTAGTGTCAGTTTGATTAAACAGGACCATGACCACTGGACACAGGTCCTCTGATTCCCCTTCACTCCTATCACATTTATTAGCACAAGCTTGTCTTTGTCTTCAAAATAATCAGCTGTTTTAAACAAACAGGAAAGATACAATACATGTCGTGCCACCGCCTGTCAAATAAAACTATGACATTGGAACGTCACTGCCAACTAAACTTCACAAATGTCACGAAAATGCTTCTCCAAAGGATTTAATTGGTGTTTTTGGCTTTCTGAGCTGTTCCTGAAGCCGTTTTACCGACACCCATAATTTGTTTTAATTTCTTCCAGCTGTGAGTAGCTCCTCCGTTTCCTTTGTGCAGTGTACTAAGGACAATAGTGTGCATCAAGTGCAGACATGCACACACACATATATAGTTTCTTTAGTGTGCATGGTAACTGTTTTGTGGTGCCATATGAGTTCACTACACACTCAAAACCTGTTTAGATTTAGAGGAAAGATGCACCGAATGATCGACAATGACCAGTGACCTGTCAGTCAGTCTCAGATCCTGTGTCAATCGAATTTACATGCATGTCACGTCACAAACAGCAGCACAGACAGTAGCTCAATAATGTCAGAGTCGCTGCAACCTAATCTCAAAATATGCCGTTCATTCCCATGCATGCTGCACATGGTTTCAAAGCTCCTGTGTTACGCTAACTAGCAGACTGGACAACACCACCCAAATCTGTTTTAATTATGGAGTTGATAAGGAGCTCACAAGTGTAGCATAGCAAAGCTAATGCTAACCATTTCATGTAAGTGGGTGGAAGATGCTAAAACACTGAGACACTCTAAGACCAGGAAGTATAACTCAATAAAAACACAAATTTGGGTGTTCTACCTCAGTCTGGTTGTACCCAGTTTGGGGTACAAAATGTTTACATAGAAAAGCTAATGCTAACCTTTTAGTATAAGTGAATGGAAAATGCTAAAATGATTAGCGCCATATTCCAAGTAATATAGTTAAATAAAAACATGGAGTTGGGTGGTCTAACCGAGTTTGCTTGTTAGTTTAGTGAGTCATCGAAGTATGGTACGGTTCATATGACAGATTTGGTAGTTCATTCTGTGGCAATAAAATGTTTTTACTCTAGTAATTGAAAGGAAATAAAATGGTGACGTTACTTGAGCTGAAAGGGAGCTGAGAAATGGTTTGAGCAGTCAAAGGAGCTGTTTTTGAACGATGTTTTCTAAACGTCGTAAATTTATTTTCACTCAGATTTCTGTGCATGCTTAAAGAGACACTCATCTTTAATGTCATGTATGCATTTTTAATATTTAAAGCCAAGGTTTAAAAATATGTTTGTCTATGTTGTTGATTACAGTTCTTAAAAGGAAAGAAAATTTGCAATTGGCAAGTCAGACTTTTCAAAAATCAGAAACTGGAATTGGCTAAAAGAATGAAATAGGTGCATCTCTAATTAAGTGTGTGGAGTCGACTTGGAACACAGTTTGAGTCTTCAAGTAACATTTTAACAAAGGGCTCTAATAAAGCAGGACCTTCCTGACATGACATTATAAGTAACGTGCAAATTCCCTCACAAATCTGCAATTAATCAAATGCTGTACAACAGCTGGACAAACAGTGGCCCTGAGGCTTTTGAGGCCATTGGTAAATCAGCTCTGAGTTGTGGTACTTTAAGTGGATAAAAACACTCTCTTTGCTGTACTCACTCTCTCTGGTGTGATGCAACGTTTTCTCGACACAGCAGCCCCTCATCACAGGGACAAATCTGGTTTATGCTGAACGCCAGACCGCCGTCGGGGACATAGCAGCTCTCGCCGCGGATCAGACGTCTTTTGCACACCTGCTCACCATGGTGTCGAGCGCAGCACATGGAAGCCCCGCAATCCCTGTCGACTTTACATCTGGCACCTGGATGAAGGAACCCCAGGTTAATTCAGGTCCAGCTGTATTCAATTCCAAAATTTACACTCTTAAATAAATGAAAATTAATTGTTTGCTGTTGTACTCTTACCCTCTTGTCCGTTGGGGATGCTGCGGTGGCACTTCCCAAACATGCAGCTGAGACCGCGGACACACTGGGCATCCCTCCGACAGTAGTGGCCCTCCCCTCGCAGGGGAACACAAAGACCAAAGTGCCGATCACAGCAGAAACCTCGCCCACAGGCCCTGTCATGCTCGCACACGGCCTGGAAATAAAATGGCGAAATGTTAAACTTGGCCCAAATTTAAGTCCTGTATGTCATAAAAATCCTGAACATGGAGCTATGTGAAGTCTAAAGTGTCCTAACAATATTTTCATATAAGTAGGTAAAAGATCTGAGGTGTAACTATTTTCTGAGCTTAAGAGGAAATATTTGACTACACTAGCTGTGATGATTTCTGACAAGATTAAATAAAGGTTGTGCTTAATTCAAATTCATGCGTAGTATCCATATATCTTACCATGGTTGCTTTCACTACAGGAGCGCTTTCTCTAAGTGCCTTTGCTCCTTCCTTTGGAGGGCTGTGGGGCATGTTGAGCATCCAGGCCCATATCCGAGCTTCGGCCCAGGAGAAGCAGAGACACAGGCAGAGCATCCACAGATTCCCCAACATTTCCACTAACAAACTGATTAAAAAAAAAAAAAAAAGAGCAAACTGAGAGAGGCTGAGAGCGATTAAATCAAGACAGGGTGACTCAAGGAGCAAGAAAAGATGAGTCACTTGTCTCTGAGTCCACACCAAATAAAAATCCAAAGCTTAGAAGTCCCAGTAAAAGTGTAGAAAAGTGTCAGGACAGCAGGGATCCCAGCAGCGACGGTGGCTGCCTGCTCTTCCAGCGGGACATTTATAGGTCACCTGGGCTGGACTCCCCCCCCCCACCAGGCTGTTTGTCCAAACATCAGGGTAGGAGGAGACAATTAGTTGTTAATGGATTAACTAAATTGCCTGAGTCACCCCCCTGCAGTCAGAAAATAGTGGCAAAATGACCAGTCGTGGAGAAAGGGAAAGAGGGGAGATGTGGGGGTGGTGGACGTGATGGACTGACAACAAGCCTCACACAATAGAGCCAAGACAAGCACCACCTCCGTGTGGTTATCTCTGCCAGACAAACAAATGAGGACAATAGCAGACAAATGCACGACATGTTTCACTGCTCACTGAGTGACAGGTAAAGTCACCGAGGGGCCCAGCGTCCAAACACTCCTGGCCCCGACCTCGGCTGCCCCGTCGCCCCCTACCCTATCCCACTCCAGACCCCACGCTGTGAGCAATTTGCAGAAGTGCACCCTGCAGACGACCCCATGATCTCATTAAATGTAATTACCATCAGCCATTAGTACTCGGGGGGAGAAGGGGAGGGGAGACAAGTTGCTCGGGGGAAACAAGCAGATTCATTTTTGCACATTTTCTGCAGCAACTTCAGTTTCTTTTTACTTGCTAAAACGGGATCAGACCAAACATTACATAACCTTAAATCCACTGAAATAACAAAAAGTAATCACTTGATTTACGAAACATTAAAGAATCAGGTACCAAAAGTTAAACTTGCAAGACTGACAGTATGTTCTCTCATGCATGAAGTGTTTTCATACTGTGTATAACCTTCTTCCTGTCTGTCTGCGATACAGCTTTTTCTCACAACAAAGATAACAGCTGTGCTTGTACCTGGAAAGAGTAAAGAAAAGACAGTTGGCCGTAAGTGTGAATGTGAGTGTGAGTGGTTGTCTGCCAGATTTCCGGTGAATGTTGGGCCGTTTTGCCGGCAAGCTGTGAGCATTTAGACACACAGGGCCGGATTGGCGAGTTGATCCAAGGCGCCCAATTTTCCGCCTCGTAGGGTAGACATATTGGTGGAACCTTTTTGGTTTAAAAAGAATGAGGCTGCCTTCTGCCACGGGAGGAGCTGTTGATGACACCGCACGTCTGACCCACTGGCGGTGGATAAACAGGAAACAGCTGATAGCAGGAATGAGCAGCTAATAGCAAGAGGGAAACGCAAACCTGGAAGACAGTAGCTATGTTTCCATCTAAAAGTGATTCGGATAATTGGGAAATGCGCATTAAAAGAAATACGAATCCTGTGTGTTTCCATTAAATGTATGGACTTTGGTGAAAACTACGAACTCGTGCAAGATTTCCGCAGAACCGGAAACAAAACAAGTCTTGCATTCTTCTTCTTCTACGTTTTCTGGCTGTTGGCAACCAGCTTGTAAATGCATTACCGCCTTCCCGACCCAGAGTGTGGATATCACCATGGAGAGAGGTGCGCTACGTCAAACTTAATTCGAACATAACTGTTTCCATCCCCCGTTTTGCAAATCAACATTTTTTCGAATCGACCAAAACCCGGCTAAAGCGAGCGTATTTTAGTTTGTGCGAATCAGGGGATTTTAATTCGAATTTTGGCGTTTCCATCATAATTTTCCGATGCGATACTTCTAGATGCAAATCTATACAGGCTGATGGAAACATGGCTATTGTAAAGATGAGCAACTGGGGAGACAAGGAATTGTGCGCCCTCCTTGTCTTCACAAACGAAGAGGCCATTAACCATCAGATGACGGGGACGGTAAAGGACGGGCCAACTTATGAGAGAATCGCCAAAGGACTGACTAGTCGTGGCTTCCCTCCCACGTCACTGTTTACATCATACACTGAGCTACACGTTTTGTTACTTGCTCATGCCCCCCATTGCCCCGGAAATTCTGTATGAACAAAAGTAGGCAGGTGGCATTTTGCTGCACTCCCTGATTTTGTTTTTATACTGCCAATGCTGAAAGAAGACTGATTGGGCTTTCCTGCAAATTTGCACAATTCCTATCTAAAAAGGGCTTATATGTCAGCCCTGTGATAGTCAGCTGGGATAGTCTCCAGCCCTCCAGTGACCCCTATCAGAATAATGGCAAATGAATGAATAAATGATTGTTTTTAGGTGGCTAAAATATGTTTTGCTGCTGCCCCCCTCTTGCTTATTCTTATGCTGGTACTCCTGCTGGCTTCTCCAAACTGGGGGCTTGCCGACTGCTATCTACTGTTTGTTATACAGTGACTGTGGATAAGTACCTCACATAACCCCACTTCAAAACATCCAGACTATCCCCTTAGGCTATGAGGACACCATTACTCACTTTAGTCAACACCAAAAATATTCAGCTTTTGTTAAAATGACATCGTCTAATAAGCTCATTGTCATCAATCATTTCCAAAACCTCTCACAGAACACAACAACGTCTTCTGGCAACTCGTAGTCTCTGGAGCTCCGTTACATATCAGCAGATAGAAGCTTGAAAATGCTTTTACCCTAAGGACAAAGAGAAGGACCAAATATGTGTCACTGCAAGAATTACTGGCCAGTTAGGAGTAATTTCCATCTCTGAGACACTTGATAAAACATGCATGAGTCTATGAGCCTGTTTTAGTTATTTAGCACTAAAGTGAGAACCTGCAAATCCTCTTCCTGGCTCTAAAGACGGACTCACAGCAGCGTTTATGTTTCAGTTTTTCCCAACACTACAATGAAGACTGTGAGTGTTTTTTATTAGTAGTAGTATTGATTCCTGTCAGTGTAGTATAGAGTGCTAATATTATACATACCCCATGTTTAATGAATTACAGGCCTTTCTGAATTTGTTGTGCCTATGTTATTTCATCTCCTTTGACCACTGCAAGGCTTCACGCTAAACTTTGTCTCATTCAGGTGGGATCACAAGCCTCCAGGCCACCATTAGACCCAGTACCTCACTCACTGGTCTTTATCAAGTATTGGTGATCACACTGAGGATGTTTATTTGCTTTGGAAGGAGTCCAATATGACGACTCTCCCTCCAAATAAGACTGTATGGTGTCGAGGAACTGTATCGTCAGTAATAATAACTTCTGTGTTTGAGCTTTACTTAGCATTAGCATTCATTGTTTCATTAGCATTCAGTATTTCGGCTCAGACTTACGGTACATGCCTGGATAATTGTTCATCATTTACATGTTCTTAGTGGCAGACAGCACAGATTGGTTACGTAGATACCGCAGGGTCTGCGCTTATCTCAGCTCCAGGTACTTAAGTCCTTATCAAAACAGGCTAACACAGACTAATGATGTAATGGGCGGTCAATTAGTAAACACAATAGCAGCGACTGGATCAATTAGCAATATGTAAACAAGTATTGAATCATGACTATGCAGCCATCGGAGCAGTTTAATGACATGGATTCATGTGGATTGAGCACTTAATGGCTCTGTAAAGGATGTGTCCATGGAAGAATACAAAACATTGGGGTGAAAATGCGTTTATGTCAAATTTATTTTGTCTGAGTCATGAAGATTTATGAGTTCCAATGTTTGCAGATTAATCATCAGACTAAAACTACTTGGCAACTTAGTCTATGTTTTGTAATTTATGAGCTGAAAATTTGGAGCTGTTCACTTACAAATAAATTCTCCTCCCTTCCTACTGAGGTGTTTTGGATTTTTTTTTCCCAAACACTGTTTTGCAGCATAAGAACTACAACTTAAACTACAACTCCCTCTCTCTTTTCTTATCACATTCCTCCAAACAGGTATTCTTGTTCTACATCTTACAGCAAGATATCCCCCCCCCCCCCCCCCCCCCCCCCCCCCCCCCCCCCCCCCCCNCCCCCCCCCCCCCCCTTTTATTTACCCAATGCCAACAGCAGATAACTGTCTCCAAACACTCCTTAACATGCTCCAACAGTGTTAATGACTCTGCTAATGACAGTCGTAATGAATGCCACAATCAACATTGCTGTGGGTCTTGCAATTAGGGGCTAACAAAAACAACGGGCAGGGTGGTTTTTGTCCATTGTAATGGACCTTGACCCCCCACAGGAGCTCTGAATGGTGGAGGCCACGAGGAGTCTGCCTTCCCATCACCACAAAAACATGCTCGGTGCTGGAGTGGATGGACGATTGGCCATCAGTGAATGTGTATTCACAGTACTGGAGAACAATGAGGTACAAGTACTGTTTCTTCGGGATTCAATAAGGAGTTTAAGTATATAGGCAAGTTTACACAAATAGCCAACAACTGCTTCACTCTAACACGGAGTGAAAACAGCCGTCACAGAGACAAAGGAGAGGTGATACTGTTTAAACATGAGGCACATTGTTGGACGACATACATGGCATTCATTTGTGCACATGAAAAGTGACAGAAATACTTAATAGGGCCAGGAATGAACAGAGAGCTGGAGAGAGAAGTTCAAACCCTGGCTACTCTCTCAGCATGAAGTAGGTGTGAATGTTGGATCGTCGGTTTCGGAAAGTTACATCCAACGTCAGCAAGGTGTGGGGGGCCGAGCACTTCTGACATATACTGGCCCCTTAATTCAAGATACTTTATTTGTCCCTTGGGAAATTTGTCTTGGGCATAAAGGCTGCCACATGAAGTACACACAATTACAATGCAGCAACAGACAAGTTCAAACATAATGTGGATTCAAATGCATTTCTTGAGTTTAGGAGATTCAGTAATGGAAGTACTATTCTGGCACCTTCTCCTGTATTTAACTGGGGCACCTTGATAATCTTCCTGGCCTGTTTAACTACAGTCTTCTTAAAGAGCATCACAACCAGTAAGTTTATGCGTGATTTTAACTTCACTGATACATCACCAAACCAAGCTAAGATACTTTTTTGTCTTGTCCCACTTACCTGGCGTTTTTCTAATTTACCAAACTTTATTCAAACATAATTTCAGCTAGCAGGCACACAGGAAGGGAGAGACGGAATGCAAGGAGAAAATGGAGAGACACAGGCTATGTGATAGTAAACAAAATGTTGTTATACATTGATATCAGCTCCAGAAAATAAATTTGCCTTTATGTTAAATTAAATGGAAGATTACTGTAACAATT